CTATCATTTGGAACTAGTACGACTTACCACCGCAATTCTGCAGTTACTCTAGGCTTGATCTTTGTTGCTATATTTTAAAGTAGGAAGTCCTATAGGGCTTGTGAAAAATACTTGGGGGTCATTTCCTGAAAGGTCTAAGGAAGCAATAGTTGTGCCATGCAACGATGTAGTTTTCTTTTGTAAAAGCATAAACTCTTTGGTACTCAGGAGGTTTCTATAATGCCACATACAAAGGGGCCAGTTGCATGAGTAATTTTTGCAATTGAATCTCAAGTTCCCTTTTTGTGCCTTCGTGCCCTTCTTTTTATGGTCTTCAAAAAGAACCCCACAAAACCTCTTAATAAATTTAGGAGTAGTCTTCACTCTTTAAAGGAACTATGCTATGCGTAGAACAGCAACTCTTCACTGTTTGCACACCCTTAATATTTTTCCCCCTGTAACTAGCAGCAGTCCACGCTCTCAATGTCTTGCAAGGACCTCCTTTTCCTTTTTTGAAAAATACATGTGGATAGCGTAGTTTAATCGCTCGGGATGCTCTTGCTAACATAGTAAAAAACGAAGAAAAATTATTAGATTAAAGCTATTAGATAAAAATTGTTAAAGTTTGACGACTCAGAACCATCCTTGCCCCTTAAGCCCAACCTTTTCACAGAGAAATCAGTTTTTTCCCTTTGACTCCGAAGAACTGTTTGGTATAATTGGTTTCAAAATTAGTAAATGTGAGAATCAGTCACATAAAATTAGGATTTTATTCCATTTGTAAGAAATGTATTTGGCCTTTTAAACTCCCACAGAACTTTAAGCCTAAGGACCTTCTTAGAGGAGTTGAATATCCCTGGTAAGATCATTGCATGGAATTAGGCAGACAATTAAAGTTGAATTTTTGTTTTTGAGTATTAAAAATTAGTGGGAATGGTGTCCTTAGCTGCTATAAGTCTAGAAATAAGTAATCCGTATTTCTGAGTTATACTGTGGTTTTACCTTGTCAATATGAGGTCCTAGTAGATGTTACCATTCTCTCTGTATTTTAATTTTCCTCTCAACTAAACTAGGAACAAAATTCTCTGAGAGTTGGATTAGGAGTTGAAACTACGTTTCCCTGGTAGTTTCCCATTTTGCTTCAGGTTCCAGCTCAAGTATTACCTTCTCTCTGAAGCCTTTCTTCATTCTAGCAGTTAGGAGCAGTCATAATACTTTGCTTATGACTGTATTATATGACATCACATTGCACTGCAGTTATTTGACTATTTTTTTCTACTCTTCTGTGAACTTTTTGATGGGTGGGAATAATGTTTTACTATCTTGATGTCTCCATTATCTAGTATAGTGCCTCACACTGAGTAGAGACTAAAGTATTTTTGGAAGGATGGATGGTTGCATGGATAGGTGGATGGAGACAGTTGGCTTAACTGGATCCTATTTACAGATTGCCTAGCCTTTGGCTCCAAGGGGGACTGGACAAGACTAACAATTGGAACAATGCAAAATCTTATCTGCCCTTTGCAGAGTCAATAAGGGCATCTTTGTATTTAAATACAGCAGATGTTACTCAGATTTTTTATATTTACCTTTTACCTCAGTGTAGATGGTATGAGGATGGTGTGTAACAATATGTAAAATGTTATCTTTTTTAAAATAATTTTTATCCCCATAATTGTTGAAAGTTGTTTGTTGTTGTTAATACTAACTGGGTCTCAAACTTACTTTTCATCCTCAGAGAGCTAAAGGCCACACTTTTCTTCAAGGAAGGAGAATAATTTAGTTTATTTGAATGAACTGGAGTACTTGGATAACACAAGTACGTAATGCTTTTTATTTGGCCAGAATCAGCTGTGTGATAGCAGTATCCCACCTTATTCTACTGTGTTAGGCCAAGTTCTCCTAGTTGCTAAGAACAGAAACTGCTCCTTGCCAGATTAAGCAAAAGAACTTATTAGAAGTATATGAAGACATCTCAAAGAATCTAAACAAGTTTCATAACATTTGGAAGGGTAGAAAGCAGGGCAACTCCAGGAATCTCAGCAAGAGTTTGGGACTGTCTCTAGAGTGCTGCTGTCTTCATTTCAAGAGACTGCCAGGCTCTGTGTCTCAGCTCAGTATTCCCAAGAGAAAAAAAAATTAATAGGCTCCTTTGGGTCAGCTCTGAAGAGGATGGTTCCCCACCCTTCACCCCTACACTGACTAGGAACAAGAACACATAAAATACATTAAAACCTATCTTTCCATGCATCTAAACATGCTGTCCTTAAGCTTACTGCATCCAGAGGTAAGGTGTAAATGAGGCAGAGGGGTATAATTACAATTACCTGTTTAATATTAAATACTTTTTGAGCATCTGCTATGCACAAACAGTAGGTGATAAGAAAATGTTTACAACAAGCTCCCTAGCGTGAATGAGCTCTGTAGTTGAGATAACAATATGAGAGGCATCATAGGTGGAAGGTGATTAAAATGACTTGAGGCCAATTATTTATAAAGCCAATAATTCATAAAGACAGTGGATTTGGAGTTTAGAAGAAGAATTTCCATCTGGTCCAGATGGGAAACTTAATGAAGGTAAAAATTGTGTTACACTTTGAGGGATGGGTAAATTAAGTGGTCCATGGTAGTTCTCAAAATTTATTCTACCTGTGGAATGGAACCAGTTTTTTAATAATAAACAGTTACATACAATAAACTGAAATATATGTTACAAGGGCAGTACCTGGTGAACCTGGCAGGAAAAGGGAACCTTTTGACCCCTGGGAGAAAATTCATGATGGGGAAGATTCTATTGAGTTCTATGAGCTGATCTCAGCAACAAGGGCTGAGAGTAGGAGAATGATGGTTCGAAGCATGGTGTGACTGCTGAAATCCTTCCCTGATTTGTTTACTCTGGTGGCAAATGCACATCCTGGGGAGGAGAGAGCTGTACCTGAAACACAGTGGTCCAAGTAAACCTCATAACATCTTTTGGCTGACCATTGCTCTGAGACCCTTCAAAAAGCAGACCACAGAGGAGGGAGGGTATTTCCCTAATGGTAAAAGAAGGTAAAGATCCACGGGCTTGCAAAAGCAGGTGTGGGGGAGGGTGACAGGTGAGTCTGTGGAGCCAAGATGGAATAGACTGACAGTGAGTAGTGGCCAAGGGTCTGGGGACTTCCTGAGGTACTAGATGGCAAAGGGAACCTTACAAATGAAGCTCCAGTTACCTAAAGGAGAAGGCAGCTATGGAATTAGTATAACTTGCCTGTTAATATGACCTTTGTAGCTACCAGGTAGTGAGTCCTGGGGATATTTGAGTTGTGTATAAATTACTTCATTAGTATCTGCCCAACACCCCACCCTACATTTTCAAGTCCTCCCTCATCCCAGAGTGATCCTGGGATAATCTCAAGCATTTAGCTTTTTCTACGTGTGGACTCCACAGACTCCACAGCCATTTTCTTCAGCTTTCAGGTCTTGGGCCTTTATTCAGGTGCCTACCTGTGCCTATATGGGATAAGTGGCAAGTTGGAGCCAGAGCCAAGAGTCAGAGTATCTCAATTCTTCCACAACCTTCGTGCCAGACACTGTGCTAGGTCCTGGACAAACACGGTCTCTGATATCAAAGCTAGGCCACTGAGACATCAGCAAATAGGAAGTTGTGATGCAATGTGGTGAGTTAGTTAATGATGGGAGCTAAATTTAATCCTATCACCCAGACACCAGAAATCTTCCTAGCACTGCCACTAACTCAGCTAAGTCACTAAGTCAGTCACTTCTCTTGCCTTATCTATAAAATTCCAGCTATCAACTTCAGAATTCTACTTACTATATTCTACTAAAAAGTTTTGAATTACTTTTAGAGATATAGGAACTAGCAAATACAAGAGACTATGTTTGGTTGCTAGCAAAGATTTAATGAAATTACACAAACCAGTTTGAGTATTTTAAATTCGTGCGTTTTAATAAAAACTATACCTCAAAGCCTACGTTAGCAGGGATTGCACTGACGTGAAATTACTGCTGGACTATCAGACACTTGCTAGAAATACCAAAAGCTGTCCTGCCTTTTGAGAAACAGTAGGTAAAGTCCACCTTGTGAAGAACTGTCCAAAGCTGATTCTTCAAAATAGTGTTCTGGAGGGCCAGCCGAGTGGCGCGATGGTTAAGAACTGGCTTGGGACGCCAGAGGGCCCTGGTTCGGATCCTACATATGAGGGCCAGTGACACTGCCCTCCACAGCTAAGATGCTGAACAACAGCTCAACCTGGAGCTGGGCTGCCGTGAGTCGCCGGCGACGGCGTAGGCTGCAGCCCCTGTGGCAGTGGGTTGCCATGGGCTACCGTGTGTAGCCAGCAGCCAGCGTGAGCGGCCAGCAGCCGCAGTGAGCGGCCGTCCAGAAGCCGGCGACTGATCTGCCTCGCCCGGGAAGAGCGCAATGATGGTGCCAACTTGGGCCAGTGAAGCAACGTCCTCCACAACTAGACTGAAGAACAAAACGACAGCAACTTGTCTGTTCCCCTTCCCCCAATTCACCAGCGCTGTTCCCATCCCCCAATTCCCCAATAAAAATCTTTAAAAAAAAATAGTGTTCTGGAAACCCCAGGGTATCTGGCACCAAGATCTATCCTTAACGCCTCGGCTCTTGCTGGAAGCTGGAACTGAACAAGTATGAATGGACCCCGGCCAGCCCAGGAGGCTCCTCCTGCGGTTATACGGTGGGTTGGGCATGTATTTGCACAAATTTCCTCCTTCTCCGTATTCCACTGGTATTTGAATACTGCATTTTCTTGTTCATCTATGTGAGGTTTCTGGTGTTTTAAATACACTAAACTACTTCAGCCTGTGACCATATTGGGGCCGCCTGGAACCTACCCCAAGACCCGATTTGTGTGGCCCAGGAGGCGGGGCCAGACGGAGCCGAGTTTGGCTGCTCGCTGTTAACTCACTTCCGGACCGCTGTCGTGCGTCCCGCCTCCAACCGGAAGTGCCTTGAACTCAAGGTCCGCTGTTTGCCCCGCCTCTTTTGTCTTTGCTCTGGTTGGGGTGGGACTTCCTGTCTCGTGTATCCAAGGACCTTCAAAGTGAGGCCGGGTACTGAAGGCAGAGGTACTAGACCTGTGGCCACGGGTTAGTTCGGACTTGGTGCACCATCAGTCACCTGCCTGCTCATTGCAGTTATCCTTACTGTCCTCCTACGGCGTCTCGGGGAGGCCTTGGTGCCCTGAGAACCCAAACGTGTGTCTGCAGGTTCCGAGAGGGCCATGGAGGTGCGGCCGCCGGCGCCACGGCGCTTCCTCTGCAGGGCGCTGGGTCTTTTCCCTCGGGTCTTCGCTGCCGAAGTTGTGGCCGCCGATTCGAAGGTCCTTGTGAAGGACCAGAAGCTGCCTTCTTACGTCCCAGAACCCCAGAACCTTGAATCCGGATGGGACCGCCTACGGGAGCTGTTTGTCAAAGAGTAAAAATGCCTAGGGTCTGTGGGGAGGGGCTGCGAAGGAAGTGTCCTGCACCCTGGGTCATCCTGGGGTGAAGGACCCCAGGGAGGCGTGGCTTATTTTTAAATGGGGTTTGGGGTTCTAATATTTGTACCCCAAGCTTGCATCCTGACAGTGGCATTTGGTAGTTCTCTTGATGACAGGACGGCTTTCAAATGGTAAGGGTGAGACTCAAAAGTCAGAGCTTTTAGGGATATTTAGGGAATATAGATTTAGTGTAATACCTTGATTTTAGACAGAAGAATTGGACCGAGCTAATTGTCAGAATTGACCCTGGAACCCACATCTGCAGGATCCCACTCTAGTATTCTTTTTCGTATTTCTCTTGATCCCAAACTTTGATAATTCATGACTGCTCCCCTCCCCTCCAAAAAATCGAAGTTGGAGAGATGACAGAGAGAGTTGTAAAATTTTTATTCTGCCAAACAAGGAATATATAAAAAATAGCACCTTTTGTCTCATTTTATAAAAGAAAAGATATTAGCTGGATTAACAAATAAGGATATTTCAGAATAAAGGATAATTTTCGAATTGAACTAACTTTAATGAAAAACTCAGGATATTTCATTCATTGATTCATTTCATCTATTCGTTAATTACTGATGAAAAGTTTGTTTTGCCCTTTCATGAAGTACTTTACCATACATTACATTGTGTTATCAAGTGGTGAAATTAACTTTGAAGCTTTATTATGTTGCTGAAATAGTTGGGGCAAGGAAGTTGGCAGAATTGTATTTAATTACTTTATTTAGATTTCATCTTTATTTTTAAAATAATGTGTTAGATTTCTCATTTGCTCTTCTAATATTTAACTGAGATACTTGTGAAAGAGCCTATGCAACATATAACAGAAGAGAGTTACCTTGATCAGCTTTATAAACCACAGAATGTTGGAGCTGAAAGAAATTTGAAAGATATTTTCGTGTAACTTTCATTCTTCCCTCCATTATGGGTGAGGTCAAGGTTCATAGAGATTGTGATCTGGCTGCAGGTAACTTAGCAGTAGGTGACAGAACCAGAATCACAACCCCATTGTTATTTAGAGTGGAGGACTTCCTGAACACTGTGCCTTGTTTCTTCGCCATCATTCATTAGCTGTTTGGACCAACCATTTAATTTCTTAGAGTTCCTATTCCCATATGATTAAAATGGAGATAAAAATCACTTATGTCATAGAATTTTTCAGATGAAAAGGAGACCAAGCATATATATTTCCTGTTTGTTAAATCTTAAACTGTTTTTACATTTTTTCTTTCCCAAGTTCTGCCATAGACCTGTTTTTCTGTAAATGTTGTTTTTGATCTTATTGACTATAAAAGATAAAATATAAAGTTCAAGTTAATAGTTTTTCCTGTTGAAATAAGTATAAGAGTTACAGTTTTCTAAGAGATTTTATTGAGATTTCTTTTTGGTAGAGGCAGAAACTATAAAGACTCACAGGTTGTTGATTTCAGAAATGTGGTTATTGGCAATTAGAGCTAGATAAACACTTGTACAATCTGTGAAGAAGGCAAGTCAATAATGTAAATAATTAACATTTAGTAATTTACTTACCTAGTAGGGTCATTATTTTTTATTTTTAAATTTTTAAAAAGATTTTATTGGGGAAGGGGAACAGCGTTGGAGAATTGGGGAAGGGGAACAGCCAAGTTGTCCTTCAGTCTTGGTTGTGGAGGGCGCAGCTAGCTCAGCTTCAAGTCCAGTCACCATCCGGCTGCCCTTCGGCAGCTCACGGCTGCTCAGCTGAAGGTGCCGTGTTCAATCTTAGTTGCGGGTGGACGTAGCCCACCATCCCATGTGGGAGGCAACCTTGTTAGGAGCACATGCTGTCACCAGCTGAGCCAACCTGCCACCTGTTGGCAGCTCAGTGGCAGCTCAACTCAAGTGCAGCTCACTGGCCCATGTGGGAATCGAACCAGTGACCCTGTTGCTCAAAGCTTGTGCTCTTAACCAACTGAGACACTTGGACTGCCCCAGGGTCATTATTTATAGTAACTTAATACTTACAAATGTAGCTATTTCTTAGAACAACTTCTGGAGAACATCTTGGAAGCTAGCTATATTAGTGGTTGTAGTTTCTTATGCTTTTGAGATTAATTGAATTAAACAGTAGTTTTTCCATGTTATTTAGGTTACTCTGTACTGCCCAGTGCATCATGAGAGTTCTCATTCAACACTTTTTATATAGTACAGGCCCATCTGAGCATGATTAAAATTATTAAATTAAAAAAATTTTAATTTTAAATTATTAAATTATTTAAATTATTAAATTATTAAAAATTTTAAATTATTAAAAAATTAAGTTATAAAAGATAGGGTTTTGATTTTTTTTTTTACATCTAAGATTTCATTCTTGCATACATTGCCCTAAAATCCCATAAGTGTGTGTAATTTCCAAAAGTTAGCTTAAAATTCAAAAAGGGATATATTGATCTCTATACCCAACTCACAAATTCTTCCTGTTTCCAGGGATACAGTGGAGTTATGGTCATCAAATAAAAGCGCCTTCAAGAAAAGCTTTTTTATTGGGGTATAATATGCATCTAGAAAAATGTACATAAGTATACTGATCAGTGGATTTCCATAAACTAAATATAACTGTGTAACCAACACCAAGAGACAATTACCAGCATCCCTGAAGCTTCCCTCTGCCCCTTCCAGTCACTGCCTTCCCAAGAGTAATCAAACATTAGACTAATTTCTAACAGCATAGATTAGTTTGGGCTGAAATTCGAGTTACTTGTAATATAACTGCACGATTTAATTCATTAGAGGACTTAATTGGTTTCCCTCCATAGTGAAAAATGTAGTCATGTTAGCATTTGGGATCATTCTGAGCATACTGTCTTTTGGAGAACAATATACATATACTAATCCCAAACAATATTGTCTTTTTCATGTTTTAGTGAACAGCAGAGAACTTCAGAGGAACTGGAGAATATTTATAGGGCATTTATTTCAGCAGGCATCATTGGCTGGGCATATGGGGGAATACCAGCTTTTATTCATGCTAAGCAGCGCTACATTGAGCAGAGCCAAGCAGAAATTTATCATAACCGCTTTGATGCTGTGGTACGTATTGGTGTTCTAAGTGCTTGAGGGCACACCAAGTTAGCAATTCACTTCACACATAATCACTCAGTGAGGTGGTGGGTTGGGAGGGTTTAGGATGTAGAGTAAAGAAACCAAGTCTATACTTAGTAACAATGAAAGTACTAATGCTAAGGTGTATGTATATGCATGGCTTGTGAGACCACTTATCTTCAGTAGGGATCACCACTATAGCTCTTTTCTGAAAAATATTTCAAATCTGCTAAATCATCAAGGTTCCACTGTGGCATATTTATCCCATTCACAAAGCCTCCATGGAGCATACTAGCTCATACTAAAACAATAATTACCGTATTTGCCAGCGTGTAAGACGACTGGGCGTATAAGACGACCCCCTAACATTTCCACTCAAAATACAGAGTTTGTTATATACTCGCCGTATAAGACTACCCCCTCTTCCGCACACCTTCCACACGCCAAATAAAAGGTAAAACAATATCAGATTTGATTTGGCCCACTGAAGTGCAAACAAGCCTATTGTATTTCGTGTCACCACATAACCGTTTTGGCGATGTTGAGCCACCATGTCTGCTACATGTTTTTCGAGTTCTGGCCAGTGTGGGGTGCCTCTTCTTAATGCACACTTACCCCTTGGCATACTCTTTAATGCTTTCTCATTTGATTTCCAGTCCCGAACCATCTTTTCTGTTACTCCATATTGTCTTGCAGCAGCACAATTCTAACAGGCACCATGATAGCGCAAAATCGCGAATCTTCAATGCATATGTAAAGAAATATACTGTAACTCGAATTTACCACACTCGCAAAATCGCACACAGCCAACCATACACCCAGTATGGTATCGCGATTCGCGATTTTGCGCTATCATACTGGGTGTATGGTCGGCTGTGTGCGATTTTGCGAGTGTGGTAAAATCGCATAACAGCAAAATCGCATAACAGCCGAGCATACACCCAGCAGCGCTGCTGATGCCTGAACGGTATGTGGAATGAAGTGGGCGGGCATCGGGAGGCCACTATGGCACGGGGCAAGCACTATGGGCAGTCTATCTGAAGTGTACCTGGCATATAAGACGACCCCCCACTTGGAGGCATATTTTTCAGGGCCAAAAAATCGTCTTATACGCCGGCAAATACGGTAACATTCATAACTACAGTTTAGAGTACTAACTCATTTGTTATATCTTAGATCTGTTCATCAGTACTGTTGTATTAGTGAGGGAAGTTACAGCTCAGAGTTTCTGTTTTTTATTTAAAAATTATGTCAGACTTAAAAAAGTGGCAAAAGTAGTACAAAGAATTCTATATACCTTTCACCCAGATTCTCCAAATGTTAACATTTTACCACATTTGCTTTATCATTCTTTCTCTGTATAATGCATAGTTTTATTTTTTTGTGAACTGCTTGAGAGTTACAGACATGATACATACTAAAGCGTGTATTTCCTAAAAACAAGGACATTCTCATATAACCACACTGTAATTATACAAATCAGGAAATTAACAGTACTGCAATCTACAGACCTTATGTAAATTGTTCTAGTCCCACCAGTATAATCTGTGGTAAAAATAAATAAATTAAAAACATTTTTTTTCTGGTCCAGGATCTAATACAGGATCAGATGACACATTTGACTGTCATGCCCCTCTAGTCTCCTTTAACTGGAACAGTTTGTCTGTCTTTCTTTGACTTTCTTGACCTTGACGTTTTTGAACACTGGGCCATTTATTTATCTTTTTTTTATTTTTTATTTTTTTAATTAGGGAATTGGGGAAGGGGAACAGATAAGTTGCTGTCCTTTTGTTCTTCAGTCTAGTTGTGGAGGACGTTGCTTCACTGGCCCATGTTGGTATTATCATTGCTCTCTTCCCGGTGAGGCAGTCGTTTGCCAACCATTAGACGGCCACCCACAGTGGCTCATGGCAGCTCACACCAGCTGCTGGCCACTCACGCTGGCTGCTGGCCAGTCACAGTAGCTCAGGCAGCTCAGTGCAGCAGGGGCTTCCACCTACGCCTTCGCCAGCAACTCATGGCAGCCCCGCTCCAGGTTGAGCTGTTGTTCACCATCTTAGCTGTAGAGGGCACATCGTCACTGGCCCTCATGTGGGATCTGAACCGGGACCCTGGTTCTCAGAGCTGGCGTCCCAAGTCAACTCTTAACCAATGCGCCACTTGGCTGGCCCTATTTTGTAGAATATCCCTCAATTTGGATTTGTTTGATGTATTTTTATGATTAGATTTTGGTTATGCGTTTTAGCAGGGATGCCCTAGAATTGGTGTTGGCTCCTTCTTAGTACATTATATCAGAAGCCTGTGATACCCTTTTGTCCCTTTACTGGTAATGTTTACTTTAGTCACATGGATAAGAATGTCTCTGCAAGGTTTATCCACTGTAAATACACTATATTTCCACCTGTGTTATCATATGGTTATTTATTAGATACTTTGAGACTATGCAAATATCCTATTTTTCATCAAATTTCTACCGTCTAGTTTTAGCATTCAACTGTGATTCTTGCCTGAAGCAGTTATTACTCTGGTGGTTGCCACATGGCCATTTTTCTAATTCTATCATTCCTTCTACACTTATTGGTTAGTATTCTGCTATAAGGAAGAGCTTTCACTTCCCATTTATTTATTTATTTGTTTATCTATTTATAAGTAATTTATTTGGTATGGACTCTGGATTCTTATTTTATTCTGTAGGTTTATAATCCATTATTATCACCATTAATTTTGATACTCAAATTGGCTTAGATATGGACAGTTGGAGCCCCTTCAAAGGCGCCTGTGTCCGTTTGATATGCTCCAATCATTCTTTCAGCACCTTTACTTTTTGGCACAGCAAGGTGTTCCTGGATCATCTTTTACTTTTCATGTTGGAATGAGCCATTTCACCAAGGAGCTCTAGTTTCTTTTAGTGGAAAATGATATTTAAAAACCAAGATCTGGTGCTATGTATGCTCATTGCTGCTGGGTATCATGGCCTCTAGACCCTAGGCAGACAGTTAGGAAATGTGTGTGTGTGCGTGTGTGTGAGACTTACATTCATATACACATTCCTACACACATCTGTACCTATTTCTATATGTATCTTTTGGGTCGTCGGGAAAGTCATGACATATTTTTCTATGTTTTTCAATGCAAAAATGGGTCATGACTTTCTCGACCACCCAATACCTATGTATTAAAAGCCGTGAGTTCATACTGATACTTTCAGGGTTTTGACTTGCCCAATACCATATTGTAGTTAAGGACCCAGTTAGGGATTCTTTCAGAGTCTTTGAAAATCTAGACTTTACCCTAACGATATTATACCAGACCTGCTTTCATGGTGGCCTAGTGAAAGTGGGCTGTGGAGGCAGACAACCTGCCTTCCAATTCCTTATTGGCTGAATGATCTTGGTTGGAAACTTCCTCTCTATGCTTTGTTTAAAACTAAACCTACCTGAAGAAAATGTTGTAAAGATTAAATGAGGTAATATGTTAACACAACTTTTACATACAAGGTGGTCAGTCAAGATTAGGGTTTTTTTTTCCCTCTGCTCCTTTCCTGTACATCCTAGGAAAGTAACAGAGGAAGAAACATCCTTACCCTTTAATTTACCATTTACTCAGTTATTCTTTATTTAATGCTTTTCTTTTCCCCAAGATTTCTTGGGGAAAAAAAGCATGCCTAATACTGATTTTATGTCTGTCATAGTTTTGCCATATAGATTCTCAGTTGATACTTATTGATTTATTACTTGTTTAACAATGGCAATTCTTAGTTCCTTTTCCATCTCCTTGGTAGAATAGAATGCACATGGGACTTTTGTGTAAGCTTCAATACTTAAGGAATAGTATTTCTAGAGACTTTCTGTTGTTTTTATCTGTTTAGGTGTCCCTGCCTAATCCATAGCTGACAACCACAGTTTTAGAATAAGGGAAGGATTAAGCTGCCTTTGAACCTCACAGCCTTTTCATTAACTTTAGCAATCTGCACATCGTGCTGCCATGCGAGGCTTCATCCGGTATGGCTGGCGCTGGAGCTGGAGAACTGCTGTGTTTGTGACTATATTCAAGTAAGTTATCTCTCAATGGTGACAGAGGGTCTTGGTATTCTTTTATGAGCACATCTTTTGAGCAAGTGGGATTATGAAAACTGAACTCCCACACGAAAGTGATTCATAATACCTTTTTCTCAAGAACTGTTACCTATCTGTAAAAGATCGATCCAGTTGAAGTTTTACATTCATGAATGGAGGTCTAACAACTAGTGTCAAAATTGATACAAGGTTTCTAAGTAAAAGAAATTCTGTAAAAGTCTTGTTTATGTTTCTATTTTTTAAGTGAATATTTATTCCAGAAATGTGATTGTTTTTTGGTTCATTTATCAGCAGAACAAGGTCCACCTAGAAACCCATAGGCATATTAGCAATCTGAAACACATTGAAGGGCCCTAAACTAGGACCAGGGATTGACAAAGTAGGGTTTTCTAAATTAACATATCTCTTTAGTGAAAGTTACAGTCAAGAAGATAAATGGGATATGCTTTAAATTTTATGTTTTCCTCCTCCTCCCTTCTTCCCAGCACAGTGAACACGGGTCTAAATGTGTACCGAAATAAAAATGCCCTAAGCCATTTTGTCATTGCAGGAGGTAAGACATTTTTGTTCTTTTTTACATTTTTCAATCTCAAATAAGGTTTAGAAAATATGTAAGAACTTATAAGTCATAGTTACTGACATCTTTGGTTGGCTTCTCATCACATCTTATTCAACATTCATGCAAAATGTATGGAGAGCATTGTACTTAGGCCTTGGTATACTTGGTGAACAAAACAGAAAAGGTCTTAGAATTCATGGAGTTTTATAATGTAATGTGGATGGGTAAAAACAGGTTGCTATGAAGGGCTGGCCGAGTGGCTCAATTGGTTAAGAGCTCGCTCAAGAGTTTGAGCTCTGAGCAACAGCGGTTCGAGTCTAGCCCGAGCTGAGCAGCCGCTGAGCTGCCAACAGGTAGCAGGATGGCTCAGCTAAAAAAAAAAAAAAAAAAAAGGTTGCTATGGTTGAAAGAACCAAATAGATGTGGCACCTGGATTTAATGTGGACAGAGTGATCAGAGAATGCCTTTCTGACCAAGCAACATTTAAGCTGATACATGAAGAATGGAAGAGAGCAAGCCTTGCAAAGACGAGTATCCTAGGAAGAGGAAACGTCCAGGGTGAAGACTCTAAAGCAAAAACATTTCTCAAAAGCAGGATACTATGGAATGTAGTGAATGAGGGAGAGTGGCTTGATATTTGATAGGTGAGGTGAAATAGAAAGGGGCCAGATTTTTCATGCTAAGAGTTTAGATTTTATTTTAAAACCCTATGCCTCTGGTAGATATTTAAAGTGAACATAAAAAAAAGTATAGCCATCCCTCAGTATCCATGGGGGGTTGGTCAGGACACCACCCTCTTTAAGCCCCCCACCCTCCTCGGATACCAAAATCCACAAATGCTCAATTCCCTTATATAAAATGATGCAGTGTTTGTATATAGGTCTACAGCAAGGTGTGCCTACACATACATCACTTCATTCGCATGGATTCAGCATGGTGCTCAGTGCATGGCAAATTCAACTTTTGCTTCTGGGAACTTTCTGGGATTTTTCCCCCCAAATATTTTCGATCCACAGTTGGTTGAATCCACAGATTCGGAACCTGTGGATATGGAGGGCTTGCTGTATTAAAGTATTATTTTCAGAAATGTAGTTGAAGTGCTATATACACTCAAACACTCATTAATTCATACAGTCTCACACACACAAACACATACTGCAAATAACATTTTTAAACTTTTTATTTGGAAATAATTTCAAGGTTAAAGAAAGTTGCAAAAATAAAAGTGATACAAGGAACACCATTTAATACAGAGATTCAGCTATTAACATTTTTTTTTTTAAAGATTTTTTTTTTTAAGAATTAGGGAGTTGTTGTCCTTCAGTCTTAGTTGTAGAGGGAGCAGCTAGTTCAGCTCCAAGTCCAGTCACCATCCAGCCACCCATCAGCAGCTCGCGGCCGCTCAGCTCAAGGTGCTGTGTTCAATCTTAGTTGCGGGTGGCCATAGCCCACCATCCCATGTGGGAGTTGAACTGGCAACTTTGTTGCTAAGAGTGCACGCTCTAATCACTGAGCAATCCTGCCATCTGTTGGCAGCTCAGTGGCAGCTCAGCTTGGGTACAGCTGACTGTCCCATGTGGGAATCGAACTAGTTACTCTGTTGCTCAGAGCTCGCGCTCTTAACCAACTGAGCCACTCAGCTGTCCCTCAGCTATTAACATTGTAGCCCATTTGCTCCATCACTTGTGCTCTATTTGGGGTGCATTCTATATATGTGTACACAAGTACAGACAAACATATATAAACATAATTTGAACTTATCATTTTAACAAAAACATTTTAAATCTAAAACTAGAAATAGGGGCCGGCCGAGTGGCTCAGTTGGTTAAGAGCGCAAGCTCTGAGCAACAGGGTCGCCAGTTCGATTCCCACATGGGCCAGTGAGCTGTGCCCGAGCTGGCGACTGGACTTGGAGCTGAGCTAGCTGTGCCCTCCACAACTAAGATTGAAGGACAACAAGTTGGCTGTTCCACTTCCACAATTGCCAACACTGTTCCCCTTCCCCAATTCCCCAAGAAAATTTTAAAAATAAATAAATAAAAAAAATAAAACTAGAAATATATATTTAATAGCATTGGAGCATCTAGAACTTACTCTTTTGAAACTTGGGAACATTTTTACATGGGTATTCTGTAGGTTCAAGTGCCTATACCCAAACCGAAGTCTTCCTCCCTCTGGTTCCATACTTGCTCCTGCTGTTATATTCTCTGTTGTTTACTCTGTTAAATTCCAAAACTAGAAATCGAATAATGATGTGGTTCTTCCCTTTATTTCCCTCTGTCCAAACTTCTAGTCCTGTCGATTGTATTCCTGAAATATTGGGTTGTCGGAAAAGTCATAACATATTTTGTCTGTTTTTCAAAGGTCATTTATTTATATAAAAAACAAAGATCAATGATATATTGCCCGTTTTGTTCGATAACTTTTTGCCATCTTTCAGTGAGCTTCATAATTCCTCATTCATAGAAGGACCTGTATTTATTTGTGAAAAACTGGACAAGGTGCTGATTTACAGCCTCATCTGAATTGAACGTTATACCACGCAAGGAGTTTTGAGAGAGCGAAACAAGTGGAAGTCTGATGGCACAAGGTCAGGCAAGTATGGTCAGGCACATCCCATCTAAGCTCCAGTAATTTTTGACGGGTGATCAAACTTGTGTGTGGTCTCACGTTGTCGTGATGGAACACAACTCCTTTACAATTAACAAGCTCTGGACATTTCTGGATGATGAATTCATTCAATATGTCCAGTTATCGACAGTACACATTCAAATTGATTGCTTCCTTGTAGGATCTAGAAAAACACGACACCTATAAAATCCCACCACACTGAGAGCATAACCTTCCTCTGATGAATGTCTGCTTTTGATGTCATTTGTGGCGAATCATCACATCGGCACCAAGACCATTTGCACACCACATTGTTGTAAACAATCCACTTCTCATCACCAGTTATCAGTCACTTCAAAAAAGGATCGTTTTCCTTAGGTTTAATGAGCATATTGCAGATGTTGATACGCACCATCAAATGAACTTCTTTGAGTTCATGCGGAACCCAAATATCGAGCTTGCTTACGTATCCTAGCTTCTTCAGGTGGTTGTGAATGCTTGCATGATGGATGTTCAATGTTTCTGCAATCTCTCGTGTCATGTAACGTGGGTTTGACTCGATCGATTCCTTTATTTTGTCGTCATCAACCTCAGTGGGCCTCCCTGACCGAGGAGTGTTGTTGAGATCAAAATCACCAGCACGGAATTTCATGAACCATTGTTGGCACTGACGTTCTTGTAGAGCATTGTCACCGTAAACTTTATGCAGCTTTTCACAAGCTGGATGCATGTTCTTCCTTTATGGAAGTAAGACAGTAAAATATGCCAAAAATGCACAGTTTGGTCTTCCATCTTCAACTTGTAAAATCTCCAAAACTCAACCAAGTCACTCAATTTTTTTTTAGAATGAAGCTAGAACTGTCAGCTGTCAAATGACATAGCAATAACATAGATGCGAATGACTCTGGAACTTCCAAAAATGAACTAGTGCCTTCTGTTGCAAACATGCATCATGACTTTTCCGACGACCCAATATATATGGGCTCTCTCACCTCTTTGTTCCCACTGCTACTATCAGGTCTTCCCTGTTTCTAATATTGGTTCTATCCATCCCTACTGTGGTCTTAGTTACTTTTTTGAGATATGAATATGATTATAATACTTTTCTTTCTGAGATACTCTGTAGTTTCCTATCGCTCTAATGTCGTTTCTTGATCTGGCCCCATGCACCCTTGCTCCAGCCTCTTGAATCTACTTTGATTTTCCAAACCCAGGATATCTCTTGCTTTACATGTATTGGTCCCTCTTCTTGAACCCATCTTCCCACCCCACAACTAATTTTGTTCACCTCCTACTTAACCTATCTTTCAAGGTCCACCTCATCTGTCAGCTTCACCTTCCCTAGAGAATACTCCCTAGCTCCAATTTTCTATCTGTAGTTCTGCTCAGGTGTCTTTACCCTGTGTTCCATAATACACTGGAAACAATTTTATTAAAGCACTCTGTTGTAGCTGTTTACTTGTTTTGAATCCCTACTAGATGACTTACTTGAATTCAGAGAAAGTGTTTGCCTTTTATATCATAATCATTTGACATATAGTAGAGTAGAATAAATGTCTCTTGATTAAATATAAATATTAGTAAAATAATAATAGAAAAATATACCTGATACAATATATATTTTTATTTCAAACCAGCAGCAATCAACATTGAACTTAATGATATAACACTAAAGTTGCAGCTCTGAAGTCAAAATTAGATCAAGGATGTCTCCCCTTACCATTACTATTAGGCATTGGTCTAGACATTCATAAAAGTATATTTGATATCTAGAATGTTTGAATAAGGAGCTTGGCAAATCCTATTCCCCAAAAACAACAATAAAACTGGACAGAATCATGAAAAACAACCATTTAAAGATGCTTTAAGTTGACCAAGGTCACACAACAAATTGAGAAGCATTTATTCAAGAATTTTTACTGAATCACAGTAAGAACAATGGGAGTCAGTAGTGTTTCAGCCCGGGGCTACTCCCACCTCCTCACACCCAGCTCCATGATGTAGAAGTTCCACAAGGACAGGGCAGGCTGGGAGGACCAACAGTGCCTGAGGTGGCTGACCTTCCATGCGTATAGATATTGCTGAAAACAATTACAAACAGTCAGGGAAGGACAATATCAACACAGCTAACCTGAGGTTTTGATACTGTTTGGGGCAAGCAATAGACTGACAGACGAGGCAGAATTTTAACAGGGATATCCAGAGACCAAGACAGCCAAGAGGACTTGAATAAGATGTTACTAACTCCTAGAACTCTGGAAAGTTGTGTACATGTGTAACTATCCATGCACACTCAGGAGAGTCTGATGAGGGCCCTAGCAAGCTACTTACCTTTGGTTAATTGTGAAACCTTGTGAATACAGAAAGTAAAAGCCAGAAAATAT